TGGCCAGCTCAGGGCATAACCATCGAGATTGAAATGACAATTGGTGAGCGACCTACGATGAGGCCTCAAGGGTGCCGGGACGTTCTGTGGCCTCGGCAGGCTTGACATCGTCCATGCGCTTGTTCTGAATGAGTCTCTGTAATTTATCATGTTAGTGACGTTTCAAAGAACCAGCATGTGAATGGGATGTAAAGATGAAACATACCAGCAAGTTCCGCAACAGGACGACAATGGTGACCTTTCCAATAGAGGGAACGAAGAGCGAGGCCTTGTCTCGGACCTCGTGGGGGAAGTTCTATATCAGGGGTCAGCAACAATCTCTCAACCAGACTCAAGTTCAAAAGAAAACATACCCTCTCGCTGGAGAAGTTGACACAAACAGCACCCTCACGCAGAAGGCTGGTATCAAACTTGTACTTCTCACTGGGAACACCAGTAATAACCACATCGCAAAGGGGCACAACATCGTTAATAGTCTTGCCCTCGAGATCAACAACCTCGTGTGTTTTCTTCTGCAATCCCTCACCACGAGTGAACTTCTGCACACCGGTAATATCAACCGAGTAAACACAAGCGCCATCATTAGCAAGCAGAGCAGCAAGCGGACGACCCACGACCTCGGAGCGGTTCACGACACAGATAGTGTGTCCGTGAAGACGGTTGCCGTAAGGCAGGATGGTGTTGTAGATGTTGAGGTACTCGAGGATCTTGATGTTGGCCAGCGGGGTGCAGGGCAGGATGGACTTCTGGCGCTTAGCGTCATCGAGGAAGCGGATGTTCTGGTACATGTTGAAGATGTAGCGGTGGCTCAGACCTTCGACGTCCTTGGTCATGTCGACAATCTGCTGCAGGTACTGGTCCTGGCGGGTGCCGAAGATGGGGTAGTAGACGATTATGCCGTCGACGTTATTGTCGGTGTTTGCGTTCAGGATGGCTTGTTCGATGTCGTCGCGGGACACTTCACGCATGGTGTACTTGAAACCGCTAAGGAAGGCATTGTGTTAGTGTTTTGTTTCAATTGAATTGTTAGCTATGCTTTGGGCTTGTTTGGTTGTGCTTTTGTTTTTTTTTCTGGTGGAGGGGTATGTATGAATCATACTTGTTAACCCCACCAAGAAGCCCAGCAAAGAAGCAATTGGAGCCATTGAAGCCGGATAAAATGGAATATTGTAGAGACTCACTTCTCCTCGCAGGTCTTCTGCGTCATCTTCGCGTACATCAACGCGGCAGGGTCATTGTTGGCCAGCAGGCCGACCAAGTGAGGCGGCTTCTCGAGGGTCTTGAGGCCTTCATGGACTTCACTGAGGAGGTGGTTGGCAACGTTCTTGCTCAACATCACCTTGCAGGAGGAGGCAGGTTTATCAGTAGGGGCAGACATGACGGCGATATAATAGCAATATAATCAGTAACAAAAGAAAAGTTAACTTTTAGGTTCCTCGCACGCGGGGACTTAGCCATCTCCGGGAAAATCTTGATCGCTTATCGATAACAGATCGGATGCCGGTTTCGGCCTCAACTGCCGTGTATATTTTGCATATGATCGAATATCACGGATGAGAATATAGATAAAAATAAAGGATATAGTGATTGTTGTCAATTGGCTGTATATAGGCTTGACTGGTTGGGTTTAGACATACCTCCAACCCGTCTTCGTCCGATATATGCCCTTAGATGTAAAATAATGCTAGTCTACGATTACAGTATAAACGATTGAACAAATGAAAATAATTGCGGTCCAACATGGAGAGCATAAGGAGACCAGACGGAATTAGAACGGTCGTCCACCCATCTCGCGCCCCGATGCGCGGATAAAATCTAAACGTACAGGATATAATCACATTTTGGCGAACCAAAGTCATTTGAGTTCTTGCTCGAACAGCACTACGGGAAATCCCTGGTCCGCCCCCCAGGATCATGCAGACAATTACATCGCTACATCCAGGGGCAGACCTAGATCTCCTACCAAGCACCGGCACCAAGAAGAACAGAAAAACAATGGGCTCAAAATTGTACAGGCTATCTTGTCTATACACATAGAGTCAAGAAAACAAAGCCGACCACGAAGGATCATCCGGTTATTTCTTCACTTATGCGTTGAAGGTGGAGTTGAAGGCAGAGATGGTCTTCTTGAGAGTGGCCTCCATCTCCTTGGAGACCTGGCCCTCCTTCTCGATGGTGGCCTGGATCTCGGGGTGAGAGCTCTTGAGGTGAGCAAGGAGGTCAGACTCCCAGGTGAGGATCTTGTCGACAGGGATGGTGTCGAGGAGACCGTTAACACCAGCGAAGATCAGGGGAACCATATCGGCGACAGCCATGGGGGAGTACTGCTTCTGCTTGAGGAGCTCGGTCAGACGCTCACCACGGGCAAGGGTCTGCTTGGTGGAGGCATCAAGATCGGAACCGAACTGGGCGAAGGCAGCGACCTCACGGTACTGAGCCAAGAACAGCTTGAGGGAACCGGCGACCTGCTTCATGGCCTTGACCTGGGCGGCGGAACCGACACGGGACACGGAAAGACCGACGTTAATGGCGGGACGGATACCCTTGTAGAACAGCTCAGACTCCAAGAAGATCTGACCGTCAGTGATGGAAATGACGTTGGTGGGAATGTAAGCGGACACATCACCACCCTGGGTCTCAATGATGGGAAGGGCAGTCAAGGAACCAGCACCGTGGGTCTTGTTCATCTTGGCGGAACGCTCGAGGAGACGAGAGTGCAGGTAGAAGACATCACCGGGGTAGGCCTCACGTCCGGGGGGACGACGGAGGAGCAGAGACATCTGACGGTAGGCAACGGCCTGCTTGGACAGATCATCGTAGATGATGACGGCGTGGCGGGCGTTGTCACGGAACCACTCACCCATGGCGCAGCCAGTGAAGGGAGCAATGTACTGCAGGGGAGCGGCCTCGGAAGCGGTGGCAGCGACGATGACAGAGTACTTCATGGCATCCTGCTCCTCAAGGGTCTTGACGAGCTGAGCGACAGTGGAACGCTTCTGACCGACAGCGACGTAGATACAGTAGAGCTTGTCGTCCTCGGTGGCGCTCTTGCTGTTGTTCCAACGCTTCTGGTTAAGCATGGTGTCGAGAGCGACAGCGGTCTTACCGGTCTGACGATCACCAATGATCAACTCACGCTGACCACGGCCGATAGGCACCATGGAGTCGACACACTTCATACCAGTCTGCACGGGCTGGTTGACGGACTGACGGGGCAGAATACCGGGGGCCTTGAGCTGAGCACGGCGCTTCTCCTTGGTGTTAAGGGGACCCTTGCCATCAATGGGGTTACCGAGAGCATCGACGACACGGCCGAGCAGCTCGGGGCCGACGGGGACCTCGACCTGGATGGGGTGTTAGAAATGTTGCCAAGGGCTTGATGGGATTCAGGGTCCAATATCAGAATGAACCCAGGGGTTGGGTATAAGGTGCTTACAATCTCGCCGGTACGCTTGACGGTCTCACCCTCCTTGACGAGACGGTCGGAACCGAAAAGCACGACACCGACCTGGCCGGCCTCGAGGTTCATGCACATACCCTTAACGCCGGAGGCGAACCTGAAGACAAGTTAGTTTTTGGGTCTGGATAATGCCAAGACTTTTGGGGTTCACATACTCGACCAGCTCCTCAGCCTGGACGTTGGTCATACCGTGAACACGGGCGATACCATCACTATTTAAAGCTCAATCAGTTTCTGGATCGATATTGTGTCGAATGTTGATAAATAATGGCGGATTCGATGGGATTGTAGGCGGGGACCGAATTTTTTTTCGCGCCCCCAGCCGCCCTGGGAGATTTGACGTACCCGACCGACAGAACACGACCGGTCTCAGCGAGACCAGCCTCCTCAGAGACACCACGGATGCGCTGCTCAAGGATAGAGGAGACCTCGGTAGGGCTAGCCTTGGCCTCGGAAGCGTAAGAGCGAACGCCGTTAAGAGGACCGGCAGCAGCCGCGCGGACCTGTAGTGGACGAAAAAACCTGTTAATGACGGTCCCAGAGAAGGGCAATGAGTCCGAGCCATCGTTGAAGTATCGTAGTCGAGGTATGATGAGGTATGAGCATCGATCGAGCTCAATATTGAGATGAAGGATGTTGAACTGGCGATGGACGAAGGCGGCTGGGATGGGATGGACTCACCGAGGCGATGCGGCCAGTGGCCGAAACAGCCGCAACGGAGCGGCTGGACGACCGCAGAGCGTTTCTGAACATTGTGAAAGGGGGTTCAGAGGATGGGAGGATGAATTCTCTGAGGGAGAGATGTAATTGGGGAGAGAGAACGGGAGAGGAGAGAGGATTGTGGACGGGAGGGAGAGCTTTGTCGTCGGGGGGAGGATTGGATTCTCAGGACTCGCGCTAAACCCTTTCTGACTCTGGGCTCTCCGAGGTGGCCCTAGTGTGAGGCCACGGTGTATCTTGTCCGCCTTTTCTTCTTCTTATAATATTCTACGTTATAATTTTTTCTTTTATATTTTATTTCTATAAATTCTCTAAATTTTTCAAAATATTTTACAAGCCCATAATGAGTTACTTTCGATTTGTATAGCCGACCGGAAAAGTGTGCCACGGGCCACTCTCCTTCCGTTTTTTTCTCTTCTCGGATCGGCGGAATCCCTAGTCAGGTGAATCGCTTATGTCATGGTTTTCGTCACGGCAACCGAAGACGGTCCCGTATGCTTTCCAAGGTTATGTTGTCTTAATTTCCAGTCTATGTATTTGTATACTTGGAATTAAGATATATTTACTTGGCCAAAACATGCTCCCTCAAGGGGATACATTCATCCCAAATTGGATAACAAATGCGAAACACCCGCATGAGGATTAAAAAGATGACCCTAATCGCTCTGGTAGCATACGTATGAATTTGAATCAACGCGCCTATGAAAATCACTGAAGCATTCACCATCAAGCAAGACAACCCGAGACCATACGAAGTGTGTATACGCCCCGGTCTTGGCGAGCAATATCTCCCCTTACTGCATGCTGTATGCACCAGCATCTACTGCTCTGCCTCGGCCTTACCCTTGCCATTCCCATTCTTTTGCTTCCGGAACTTCAGGATCTCTGCCTCAACACCCTTCTCAAAACGCTCCTTAAGCTCCGGGCGATATCCGAAGAAGAAGAGAACCTCCATCCAGACGAACAGGGGCGCAAGCAGGAAAGCCTGGACAAGATTGTCCAGCAAGGCAGGGGCACGCTTCTCAAACACGCCGTGTCCAATAAACTGTGCCACCCATGCCACGACCTGGACACCCCCCGCCCAGTAGTTCACGATGTTGCCGTGTGTGCTGAGGAAGTAGTTTCCATAGTATGCAGTTGCGATCAAGGGGGGTGCAAGTAGACCACCCGCCATAGGCTCTAGAAGGACATAAAAGGTGGCATAGATAAGGGCGCCGATTGTGCCGGCGTTTACGGGCAGGTAATCGATTTGGAGGGCATCTGGCAGGGTGACGAGCGGCGGACAGTTGCAGGCCTTAGTGGTCATTATTAGTACTATTGTACACAGGGGATATGTATCTGTTTTGTTGAGAAATGCCGAGATGCACATACAAGAATGATGCCAGTAAACAGTATGGCCGGGACGCAGGTGATGTGGATTGCGACGTTGATCTGCGCTGTCAGTGAACGTTCGTTATTGGCGATAGGATTAGGGCCGCTATACGGGATTGTTATGGTAAGCTCCGTACTAAATCACAGTCAGCTATAGTCGTTCTGGTGGGATGGAGGATGGAGGATGCTTACGAAGAGCAGCTGTTTCTCGAGATTGAGCGCCATCTTGCTGATTAACAAAAAGATGGGGAATTCTGGGGGAAGAGTTTTGCGGGGCGATTCAGGCAAGTGGCATCATCTTTATCGGAAAGCGTTGAGTGGTTTGATATTGAAGGTCCTGGCGTCATGTGGCTCCAGGCCGAGGAACACCAGTGACTGAAGACGTTTGGTCTTGGCAACGTAACGGTATACATGGGCTTCAGGTATGTCAACCGACGATGCACAAGCCTATCAGACCATTTACATTATAGTTTTATGAGGATATCATGCATTGCAGGTAATCGATCATTTTGTTATGATTGGACTTCTCTGCCGTGTTTCATTAAACTGGTGGTTTACTAGTACTTCGTACATAATACTGTACTAGTACGGAATGTTCTAGTGTCGCTTTGACTATATTTCCCTACGGATTTAGGGGTCTTTCTTCCGATGTCTTTATTGTTATGGGATGAAGATATAATAGGGATTTCTAAATTGGCAAATTTGAAGGCAGGTTGTAATATGGATTTCAGAACTGAAGATGCCAGTAGGCGGATATATATAGATAGCTTCAGGGTATCCATTCAAGCTGATTTGGAACCACAATAACCAGTCAAAATCGACCACGCAAGAATATATATAGTATGAGAAAGGTATATAAGCCAAAATGGAGCCACAAGATCAGAAAAGGCCGTTATTTACTTCTGTACGTGTTGTCAACATACATGGTCTGCTATAGATCATCCAATCATTCTTCATACAAGAAGCAATCCTCCACTCGGTCAATGCTAAATGATACTCAAGCGCACTATTGACTACTTATTTCAATAAGGAACGTGTCAAATGAAAAATGAAGATTAAAAGACTTTAAACGTGCAAATATCAAGTCAACAAGTTCAATTCCCACCATTCAAGAATCGTACCACGTGACTCCACCCACCCAAACTTGGCCCACCAGACCGGCGATGCTCTTACGAAGGAGAAGCTTGCGCCTGCAGCAACTGTATCTGCCTCCTCGTTCAAGATCCAAGGCAGATACAATTTCTGCTATTCCAACGGGTACTCGGATCTCATCTCGCTCATTTCTGGCAGCCACGTTTTGTTTCTGCTTCACCCGTTGCAGGTCATGAGCTCGTCGAACACGCCGTCCCTCGACCTCGATTGACAGCATCACTGTCCCGAAACTTGAATATTTCCACACACAGCATTAGCGCATTTTCATCCAACTATAACCGCGACGATGTTCTTCCTAAAAGAAGAGACCAAGGTGATCTCCATGCACCCATCCTATTTCGGACCCAACATGCGAGAGTACCTCATCGGTCGACTCAACGAGGAGGAAGAGGGACGGTGCACAGGTGATCACTTTGTGATCTGTGTCATGGACATGGTTGATATTGGCGAGGGGCGGGTGATGCCTGGAATTGGAATGGCGGAATACACCATCAGATATCGTGCGATCATCTGGAAGCCATTCCGTGGTGAAACGGTATGCGCTTGGGATCCGAGGTTATCTGTCACCTTCGAGTTCCTACTGACTGAGCTTAGGTCGATGCTATTGTTACTTCTGTTAAGCCTACTGGTATCTTCACCCTGGCGGGCCCGTTGTCTGTCTTCATTGCACGCAAGGTATGTTTTTGTTTTTGACCATGGATCCTATAAGTGTCACTGCTGACAGCCCACCAGAACATCCCCTCCGATATCAAGTGGGAACCCAACACCGTGCCGCCGCAATACACCGATCATGCCGATCAAGTGATTGAGAAAGGAACTAGTCTGCGGTTGAAGATCCTTGGTGTCAAGCCCGACGTGGCTGCCATCAATGCTATTGGCACCATCAAGGAGGATTATCTTGGGTAAGTCATTCCAACCAGACTCAACGCACATGACCTTTCTAACGCAGTTTTCTTTGACAGACCTTTGTAATGAGACACGATTGCAACACATACCCACCCTTTTCACCAATACGATAATCTACCATACTATCTATCGTTCCCCGAAGATACGGCAAGTGCTTGGAAGGGCTTGACTGCCTAAACAGAGAAATAAAAAAGAACTGGCGGGTCAGGAGCTGGAGTTTGCGTCTCTGCTCGATACACATGCCATTTGAATGGCCAATGAAAGACGGATCATGTCTTCTACCTGAGACTGTCTAGCGGCATTGCAGACAGCTGATATAACTCAGAGATGTCAACCGCTGAGGACCTCCAGTACTTTGAAATGTCCAATGTACAATATGTTCTATGTCGCTGTGTACCCCCTGTAAAGAGGCCGCCTAAAGTGTATTCAGTTGCCGGAGGGACCGGGGGGGCCTAAGCCAAGCCCCCACGCCTAGGCCTGTATGGTGAAACACTGGCGTGTTTTCAGGTTGTTTTTAGAGGATTTCCAAGATTTCGGCTTTTCTATTTGCATTTCCACTTTCATTGAATGTTTGCATATATGCAAGGTACCGAGTACTAACTGGTTCTAGCGTGCCCCTGTATAATATTTTGTACGCGGAGTACAACATCCGTGGTCTCGTAGAACGACTTCCTCCTTCTCTCATTCTCTCTCTTAAAAAATAGTTTCTCGTATTTCGTCTAGTTTGCTTCCACTGTATTCTAGAGCTCTTCTCTCTGGATCTTCCTTTCAATCCCCTGTCCCTATACGGTTGACAATGTCCTACTTCAAGACCGAATACCAGCGGTTCCTGGATAACCCCAGGACTGCTAAATTGGCAGACGATGTGTCCTTAATCTACGTTCCTACCACGACCAAGTTCGAGCAGGCCGACAATGTGATCACTCATGTGTTGAAGAACGCGAACATCGTCAAGACAAAGTCGAACCAGGTCATTAGCGCCATTGAAGGATCAGACTCACTATGTCTAGACATGGAAACAACCCTCGAATTCACCGAGGGTGGTGGGGTTTATCTCCCCTCCCTCGACGATAATTTCCTGGCCGACCGTGTTGCGACCTTCCCCACCGTAAATGCCCCGACGCGCGTCGCGTTATCGGAAGCTAATGCATTGTCCTGCAGGTTCACATCGTCCACTTCGATTCCAATCAACTGATCAAGCAGATCCGCATTTACTGGGATCAGGCCTCATTGCTGAAACAAGTCGAGGTTATCGGAGCGCGCGGACGCCAATGGCCCATTCGCGATGGAAAAGACCAACTTCGTCTCCTCAAGAACGCCGAGACAGCGCGTGCGGCACCCTCGCAGCCTCCTTCTGAGAAGGTGGAGACCAAACTCCCCGATCGTTCCGCATCCCCAGGAAAGCGCCGCATCAAGGATCCTTACGCAGCCAACTCCCTCACTGAGCTCCTCTCGCCAAACAAGGAGGCCGCTGAACGCGAAAGCCGCGCGGAAGACCGCAGACCTGCTTCCGCTAGCAAGAGATATACCAAAGACCCTTACGGAGCCGGTTCCTTGAATGAGCTTCTGTCCCCCTCCAAGAAGCCTCCCGCCCCTGTGGCTCCCTTTGCGCCCGCATCTGCACGCCCCGCCGCTCGCAACTTCAGCGATATCTTCGTGAAGGATGACGATACACCCGACTCTCCTTCCAAGACACGCCGGGCTCCCCGTGTCGACGAAGAGGATGAGAAACCCTTCAACGGACCCGTCGATGAAGATCGTCATTTCTACAAATCCGACCCTGGAAAATACAACCACTTCGAGATCGGCGGCGACAACTCAGAGCGCGAGATCAAGGCAGAAGTCAAGCAAGCCAAGACCCCCCACTCAACCCATTGGGACTTCAACGACTTCGAGACCCCCGTGAAGGGCTCGCGCGTTCCCCGCGGCGAAGAAGTCCGTCACTTCGGATTCGGCGACGACGAAGAAGCCAGCCCTCAACCCAAGCTCGACGTGATCAAGCCGCGTCGCGACGCAGACCGCCACTTCGACATGGCCGATGAAGAAACCGAAGAAGACGGACGGATCATCAGCTCATTCGGAGGCCGCGGCAAGCGTCTCTACGAGAACCGTCTCTTCGAGAGTAACGGCCAGGCCGAGGCCTCCGAGCGCGAACAGAAGAACGAGCCCCTCTCAACAGGCGGCAACGCTGTCAACCGCAACAAGAACTTCGCTTCGCAATTCGAGCTGGTGGATGAATCACCCGCCGCCAAGGAGAACAAGCCTACCCAGAAACACGTCGCGCACAATAAGATGATGGAGTCTCATTGGGACAACTACGACGAGGAGTCTCCCAAGCCTACTCAAAAGCACACCGCGCACAATAAGATGATGGAGTCTCATTGGGACAACTACGACGAGGAGTCTCCTAAGCCTACTCAAAAGCACACCGCGCACAATAAGATGATGGAGTCACACTGGGATAACTACGAAGACCCATCCCCCGAGCCCGTTAGAAGAAATGCAACGGCCCAGCGCAACCCCCTCGGCCACAACCAGCCCAGCTGGAACCACGAAGGCAACTAAGGGGCTTAGCTTGCAAGTATGTATCCCTTGTGAAGTCTCAGCTTGACAAGCACGGACTCTTTCCGATCACGAGCAATATGTATCGATACCCGCATGAATTTTGGACAATTGTCCTTGAAACTGCAAAATCATAAAAAAAAGAAGCTGGTGGCTTTCTCTTTCGCGCTGCAGTTGGAGTCGAGTGGAATGCCTGGCCTGTACTACTTTCAACTTCTTGTCTATTGCTTTTATTGTACCTTGCCTTCAAAATGTTACTAGTGTACAAGTTTATTTCCATAGCGGGTTTCGTTTATCTGTTAATTCAATCTTATATTTCAATTCCTAAAACCTCTCGTACAACGTACTACATATCAACTACTAAGGGATGATAGATGTTATCGTTTGAAGAATTCAATTGAGTCTCACTAAGTTATTCAAAATAGTAAATAGATATCAATCTCGTCAGTGAAGTCCAAGTATCAAAGCCGAATATCCCAAACGATATTTTCCGAAGACCAGAGATAATGAGCGAATATAAGTAGGTTTCCAGGTCTAAATCTTCTTCCTCCAACAAATTGTTCCAATAATCAACCTAACATGTAAATCCAAAAGATAAACACACATAGATATCAATGATAAAACACAAATCCTAGATGTAGAACATAGTCTCGGCGATATTAGGATGGATCTTAACATCCACCATGCGGGACATATCCGCTGTACCCTCGGTGCCACTGGTACTACCACCTGAGCCATCAATGGGCATAGGATCGAATAGATCACTCAAGAAGCAGCGGGCACGGGTGCACACTAGATCGGCATAGTATGCTGGCGGACAGACACTAACAGCCTTCGTAGCACGGCCGAACATGTAGCACATTTTGTGAGTGAGGTCTTGGAGGACATCAGCCGCGCCGGGGCCGGTACTGTTAGCCGGGTGACGGGGGTAGAAGATCTCGTCCCAGACGGTGAAGTAGTGGGCTGGACGGGCAGTGCCCTGGAGGGCGGAGTGAGCCTGGAGGAAGAAGTCCCAGTCGCGTGCCTCTGAGACGCCGCGATCGACGACAGTTCCTGGGATTGGGTTCTCGCGGTTCGAGTCCTGCTCTGTTGTTGGGTAGAAGCGGGTGTTGTGGCGTTTTCCTACGACGATGATGGCCAGACGTGGGAGGCCCTTCTTTGTCTGGTCTGCCGGGTAGGTTTTCTTGCAAGCTTCTTGGAGGAGGGGGAGTTCCTCGTCAATGACTTTGTTGTATTGGCCCTCTGAGACGCCGTCGCGGTAGACGATGATGTTCTCTGGGAGGGCCTTGTTTAGTTTGCGCCAGTGCCGAAGACGGGAGGCGAGGAGGGTTTCTAGGTCTGCGACCATTTCTTGGCGGGCTCCTTGGACGCGGATCTCGGCGGGCCATTGGGCGAGGGTTGCGTCGACTGAGGCGACGATTCCTGCCACGCTAGGTGCTGTGTTGGCTGAACCGGGTGACGGGTGGGTCACGTCGATACCGACTAGCATAGTCTTGCCCTCGGAGATGATTCCGAGGTCAGCGGTGCGAAGGGCTTGGTTGGCACCACCTAATTTTAGGTTGATTTTCAGGCCGACGTTGGCGTTATACTGATCGTTGGAGTTGATGAGCTTCTCTGCGAGAACGTTCACGTTGCGGATTCCGAAACGGACGTCGCAGACTTGCTTGATGCAGTTGTATATGCCAGTGTCTTTAGTGTATAGTATACCCAATATAAAGATTGGGTTGTGCTGCTTTTTCAGATCATCGATAGCTTGCTCGATGTCAACAGCGTCGTTTTTGCCGGTCAGAACGACACGTTTGCCAAGCTTGTGGGGGTCAACGGGCATTCCCATATCCCTGAGTGTCTTTCTGAAGGCAACCAGAGACGCGTTGAGCTGATCTGGGGTTTGGAAAACTGGCCGGGAGCCCTCCTGGTCAATGTAGAGATAAGTCCAGGATTTCATGGCTGCAGGCTTGGAGAACTGGATTTGGCGCATGTTCCAGCTGCCAGCTTGAGCCCTGATTTCCTTGGTCCTGTTTCCGTCTTTGTAGTAGACATTGGGAGCGGGAAGAATGCGTCCAGGAACCGTGATCAGCTCGGTGGAAGAGTTAACACCGAAAGCAGACTGTAGAAAGTTAGATATATTAAAAAGATTTTCGGAGCGAGGGGTTTCTTACTAGTGTGGAATTCAATGGCTCGCCCAGTCCCAGCACACCTACACCCTTGGTGACAATCGACTGGGCGTTCTGGCCCGGCTTTCGACCCATAACGGCGAAGCGGAGCATACTGGCTGTCTGATCTCCAGAAAGCTTGGATTTAGCTGGCTGGCCAGGCTCGACTTCACAGACCTCAACGGGGAGATAGACAGGTCTGTCACGAGACCCGACATTCATCACTGGGAGGTTTGCATTCAAAGCCATGTTGTACTCTAAGAAGAAGGTCAGCACAACACGAGGAGAGAGTGAGTCGAAGGAAAAGTAAAAGAAAACTTAAGATAAACGGACCCTTTTTGAAGAAGTCCGCAACGGTGATGTAACGACCAGCTTCCGCAGGACCGGACCTGGGCGCTTTCTTCCCCTTTTTCCCCTTGGACTCGGGCGCAGCAGGCACAGCGACAGGCTGAGGGCTAGATTCAGCGAGGAAGAATTGCACATCCTGGGGACCAGCGCCGTGGCGTGGAACCTTAGGTGGGTTGGGCGACGAGCCACCATCACCACGGTTAGCCAGGCCATAGATAGGCTTGATACGAGGCCGGGGCTGACCGCGACTGTTTTTGCGGCTGATGTGAGTGATGCGAACGCGAAGACTCTTGAGAAACTTTTCCAAACGATAAGTGTTCCTGTTACCGTAGCCTTGGATCACATTGACCAGAGGTCCCTCGTTGTAACAGGCCAGATACTTGACCTGGACATTCAAGAGCACACGAGCAGTCGCAGCACGCACACTGACAAAGAATCCACGTAGCACGGATAGGCCACCGCCAAGGTTGAACGATTCCATAGTATCCTGACGCAGACTGTAGTGTCTGTTGGCTCCGACAGAGACGACCTGGTCGTCGGTCTTAGGGTGGTGTCCCATGATCATGTTGAGAGCAGCCACAACCTCAGCCTTGGATTCAAGCATGGCACCGGCATTGGTGGAGGTCAAATAGTTAACCAAATCAGCAGGATTGACCTCACCAGTATACTGGCAGGTAACCTGGTGCACCCGGGGTGGATCCAGGTAGTCATCATCTATGTGCTCCTTGTATCGCACATCGAATTTACCCTCGGTCAATTTGACGCACGAGACCAGGGTAGACCGGAAGTCTGACGCAATGCTGTTCTTCTGCTGTGGGAAATGTTCCTCTAACAGTAGACGTACAATGTGTCGGGCCTTCTTCCCCACAGGGGCAGATCGACCTGCGGAGTCGGCTGCAATGGCAATATGGTAGCGGAACAGCCGTTTATTAGGCAGGGTCAGGGGCAAATAGTTTGCATACAAAGTCACCGGCCTGCCAACTGTGCCGTAGCCAGGACGTTCGGGATATTTTGCCTGTCTGGGGGTTTTCTGGCTGTTGACAGCCAGAGCTTTGGAAAGGTCATTTTCGGTCTTGGCGACGGTGGGGTTAGGTGGTGGGATAGCTTCGCCTTGTCTATAAGGCAATTAGATTTGTTCAATGTAGTAATAAAGGGAAACAAACCTGAAGATCGGTGGTCCAAGGTTGGCAGCACCACGGCCTCCACCACGGCCTCCACCACGACCGCCACGGAAATCTCCCCTACCGCGAAAATCACCGCGACCACGGAAATCACCTCTGCCACGACCTCGATCACCCCCACGAAATTCGCCACGACCTCTATCACCACCTCGGCCTCGGAAATCACCTCTGAAATTTCCACGATTTCCATCACCTCTACCAGCTGGGCGGAAGGCTAAATCACCCCTGTCACCGCGACCACGTCCCCGGTCACCACGTCCCCGGTCACCACGGCCACGGTCACCACGGCCACGGTCACCTCCACGATCGCCTCGTCCACGACCCCGATTATCACTCATGATAAGTTAAACTCAGGTATAGATGGGGCATGGAAGAAGAATAAAAGAGGAAGATAGTGGGGAATAGGGGAATGGGGGATGGACAGCTCATTAAGTATTTCAAAAAGTTGATGTATTGTCACTTTCTTTGTTTGTCTACAGGGATATATAGCGTATTAGTATAGGGTGACAATTGGGGTACTTATATCTATATTTAGTTGTACAGAAACATCTCTATGATGCGACTATGACACGCTTTATCATCTACCCGTGGATCTCTCTACTTCTGCACTATAAGCAGAAATAGAATCATTTTCACATATTTTCAATGTTCCAGCGATCATTCTCAAAAAATAAGCAAATAAACTTGGGCTCCCCGTTTGTAGTCCTGCGGTTGACCAGTAGCTACATGTAGGGATAGGATAGTGACATTCTTGTGAGAATGTGTTTCAGTTATCGGTTGGCTGCTGTAGCTCTACACATCATATTTGAATACATGTGAAGATGCTATTTGAGAATTTTGTGAAATATTTAATCTCATCTGTTGGCCTTCATTGATTTTTGCATTTATGTTAAGGTGCCACTATAATAACCAGTCCCTGGCTACTAACCTCTTAATATCAGAAGCGTACCTAGTAAGTACACTGTGTTGCCAGCTCGGGCGAGAAGGGATGCTAATGCATGCACACCACCAACTTTTTTGTAGATAAGTGAGAGGCCATCATATTTGACCGTCAAATTACCTTCACAGTCCGAGAGCTAAACAAAAATGTAAAACTACGCAAGTTTCAAGATTAGCGCTAGGTTTTCTCTTTTACTAGCACTTATGAAGTTCCCATGGTTCCGGCTTTTCGAAACAAATATCGAAATGATGCACCGAAATGCATTTGGCTAACTCGAGAATATTGATATTATTCAAACTATTTGTTTGCTTACGGGCGATCTACATTTATGGGTATAAATACCTTGCTTATTCGTATAGTCAACATCTATACTGCTTCCTTCTCCATCTCTCCAGCCTTTTCAATATGGCAGCAGTCTATACAAAAGCCACCTGTTGATATTTATGGAGAATTGCATTTGTAATGGGTAAATAACGTTTCAACACTTGATATAAGAAATGCTAAATTATACTATAATTTCTTTCGGGGTAAAAATCGTCTTGAAGTTATGTTGACGTACGAACCATGCATTCCACAGTTTCCATTCTTGGTCAGGATGTGCCAATTGTACCTATCAAAGAATCAGCGTCACTGGTATCGATATTGATTAGAAAAGAGAACATACCTCAAACCTCCGCAAAAAGCTAGGTATAATCTTATAGATCTCCATTAGAGAAATATTCTTCCCGATACAGGTCCTTGAGCCAGCACCAAACTGGAGCATCATTCCATCCATAGCTTTCAATTGATCCGGCGCCGCAGTAAGCCATCTATCGGGGTTGTATATATCGGCATCAGGACCGAAGATGTCTTTACAACGGTGAATAACCCAAGCACTGCAACCGACGATTGTTCCACCTGGAATAAAATGTCCGGAGATCTCCATCCCTGGCGCAGGAACAACACGTTCCAACGGAAGTCCCGCAGCGGGATGCATACGGAAAGCTTCCTTTATGCAGGCATCGAGATAAGGCAGCTGGCGCGACTCTGTCCACGATACAAGTCCTGTGGGGCGGTTCACAATCATACCATTGGCTACGGCGTCATTCAGCTCTTGCGTAACCCGTGCCATGCACTCTGGATTCTTAAGTAAATAGTAGAACACAGCTGCAATGCTGATAGCTGTTGTTTCAGAACCCGCAAAAGCCATAGACACAGCCATGGTCAGGATTCGTTTGTTTGTCATGAAATCTGGTCGAGTTTCACCCGCCTTGATGAACATGGTGAGAAGGTCATCCTTTGTTCCCGGGCTCGTTATATCAGCTTTTGCTGACATCCGTTCTTCCATGCGTTGCTTTGCGAAAATAGCCACAGGATGCGAGTTATCCGATAAGCCTAATTTTTGAAGGAAATCGAATATCGGATTCTTCCAGAATAGTTTATCTAGCCACGGCATCTGACCAACGGGGGCAGAATAATCGAAGATTCTTGCCAGGGAACCGACGATTCCATCGATATCTTCGTTTTTCTCGATAAACCCATGGCGTTTGCTGTACGTGATGCTTCCAATAACATCGAAAGCGAAGAATTGCAGCCATCGTGCGAAGTCGCACACTGTGGCTCCATCAGCAAAGAGTCGGCCCGTCTGATCGAGGAAAATTTCCGTAGTCTCATCTACCATCGGCTCATACTGTACTAATGAGCTCATGGAGAACGCATGATTGACAGAACGACGGAGATTCGCATGGAAGGTCTCATCCAGTGTAGAGAATAGCGATGGCAATGGCTCGCCTTTTGAAACGGTCATTTGTACCGGGTAAAACTCGGACTGTCTAAATTAGTATGTGTTGATCGTTACGGGCTCGGCGTATCAGTACCTTGACGAATCCCTTGTTTAGACCGTAGATCACCTTCGCTGCTTTCGGGTCCGCGAAGGACAAAGTGCGTGGCCCCAGGCGCACGATATCGCCGTATTTGCGATGTAGGGCTATGTGCGTACGCTCGGGGCGTCGACCCTTCACATCAATATATCGCCAAATATCAGTCAGGCGCGCCCAGAAAGGACCAGGGAAGATGTGTAGTGAATTGTAGACATAATTATGGGAAAGGTAAACCAGGAGTAGAAGAGGAACTGCGTAGACAGCATATTGAAGTGCAGCAACACGTAAAGCCGCTATAAGCGCCATGATTGTGTCTAATAGTCTTGATATTCAAAGCAGGAGCCACGAGGAGGGGACGTTATATACACCATGGCACGAAATATAAGGAAACTTCCCCGCGAGAAGAAGGTGAGTATCTCATGATGCTTTGACGCACACGATGATTCTCGGATCGGCAGTTCGGGATTTTAGGACCCGAGTATGGATGTTGGTTGGCATGAGAGGTATCTCGAGCAGGAAGCATTACCCCGGAAAAGCCATCTATTCGTTAGTTCCACCATATCTAGCATATTTAGTGCGTTCTAAGTATAGGCCCCACCTTTGATTGTAGCCTGTGCGTCGGCATATGGGACGTGGTTCAACAACCGAGAATCCCTTGCAGTGCAACAGTCTACGTTGATCTGCATTAGGGTTTAAATTTATATTTCAATACCGCAAATCTAGAACTCTATATATAAGTTAGAAGACGTACAACGCATCGGAGTAATTCAAGTGGCAACTCCATGCACTAACAACGGCATTTGTTCAACATTCTCTGAAGTTCTTAACATCGTAGGCTTTATATAGCGAAGCCAAATGTGGAAGTCCACCAATTACCAATCTAGAATCGGTCGTTGTCTGCATTTTGCAGAGTTAAAATTCCAATTAATATTTTTTATCCTTGAAAAGCTCTCCAGCATACATGGAGAATTTTCCGAAATGCTTCTATGGGGACTGTATGGGCAGCGAGCCTGTTGGCTCCATTAGTCTGCCGGCACTTCCGCTGTACCACACCCTAGGGCCGCGAATAGGAATATCACCCCGTGCCTAGCACAGATGGCGGTATCTAAAAACTTAGTGGCATCAAGATATCCCTAGACTATATGAAGGGTACGACCTAGTGGTACGCATCGCCCTAAATGCGGTATCTATCGTCAATGTTATAAGAGAATAAGCATATATGTCACTGACCTTTTGACTTTTACAACCGTCACAACTTATCTCATCGTGAGCTCCTCAACCGCATTCAACTGGAATTGAAATGTCCATCATGATGAGATTGTTCAGCCAGACTCGAGTTGATAGAAGCGGCATTCTAGTGAGGTAACTCCCGACAACCGAATGTGGGGAATGTGGGGTTTGCGGGGCATATCAATACAGTCACCTGATATCTATGTTAAAAGGACAGTCTCTTTCCATGTATAACATTTGGTTATCTGTATGACATCTTAAACTGTACTTCACGGTTTAGTTGACTCTATGTGGTCAAGCCTACAAGACAAAGACCAAAGAGAGAGTACGAGAGTTCCAAGGTTGTTGAAGAAGAGACAAGATCAGAACTACAATCCAACTATTATGCGCTACTAACCTCAAACATCAGACACCGATTCCAACACCATGCCATGAAGATCCTAGATGGTACAGTAAAAGAAAATGAACCAACTTGACTATTTATGACGAAAACAGTAAACAGAAGCGAAGTGTCTTCCCAAATATCTCTCCGGTTATTCATTCTAAACTGTTGCTGATACACGGTAGTATCAATCCGTGGTGAGCATGCTTAGCATTGAAACAGAATCTAACGAACTGTCCAACCTCTTTTTATGTTCATGTCAAATTTAGAGAACATTCTATCAAACCACATGGATGTTCGTGTATTGAGCTTCATGGGAACAGAGAGAACAGGGCGTTTGATATAGGGCTGCTTTTGCCTCGTCTAACATGAAGAATATAGTTTTGGAACTCAGTGGAAGACCCCCAGCAATTATATTCCCTGATGCAGACATCGAAAAAGCTGTCGAGGAAACGAAGCACATTATCCATTGAGATAGCGGTGAAGTTTGCGTGGTGAACTCGAGGATATATATGCCCACAATTAATTGCACCGACCTTTATCAAGTTGTTCAATAACTGATTTACGCCGTTGCACTTCGCGACCCGCTTCTCCCTGACTCGGACAGCGGGTCGTAGGCAAACAAGCGATTTGAACTGGCCCAGGCTTCATGGAAAGTGGAGAGAAAGCCGATTGGATGTTTTCAGAAGAAGGGGCGATCGATCAATAAGTGGATTCTTTATCCGACCCACAGTGTTGCTAGACACACGAGAGGATGCGCAAGTGACGACACAAAGGAGATATTCGGACTGCGGTTCATATTGTTAACTTTCTGGAAGGTGATGTGGCTGCAAAGGCAAAGCAACGGGCTTGCTAGGGCGGGCCTGTCAGCCTTAATAACTCCCCTGATACGAAGACCATTCTGAAAAGGTTGACGAAGCTTGAATTGGGGTGAAAACATGTGAATATGTATTCGACCTTTTACCTGTTCAAGATAGATCCGAAGCACAGATCCTCTAGACATATGCATGTTTAATTAAATTCTCAGCTTGTGAGTCACTACCGTGTAGCCAATAGGCCTTAAGTCAAGATAAAAAGAACAAAAAGAAACCTGATATTAAAATGAGAAACGGCATGGTATCAAGGACAAGAAAGGGTATAGGCTCGATCGGTCTCCACAAGAAGAAACAAATTGGTGTATTGAAGGGCAAATATTTCTCACATATAAATATATTACTCTTCATGTACTGGCCTTTATTTTTAAGCCCTAGAGGTACATATGCGTGAGGTGAGATCATCTGGTGATAAGCAAAGTCGGAGATAACGGATTAATCATCATTTCGTTTGGGATCCTCCACGTCGAGCTTCATTTAATGATCTCTTTATTGTTATTCACTTGAAGGAACCCTCATCGGGAACACTTGAACCAAACTATTAATTTATATTTTCAAGCCTGATCTTGGACCCCCGACCACGCTTATCCACCCACGCGGCATCTCAGCCACCCCTCCTTCAGCCATCGCAAGCTTCGACAACGCACATCCGTCGCATCGCCCCAAAATTGATCTAGTGATACTGTGCGGCCTAGATCATACCCCCGACCGCTCAAAATACTCGCGAACAGCATCAACACATCTCAAGTTCTAGGTCTGGCGCGGTTGCCTAACGCATACGAACCAAATCCTCTGGTATTGACTCTGCGCAAAACTGTGCATACATTGCTACAACTAGGGAAGGAGATAAGATTGTTTTTGGAATCCCGTTCGGATATTCAGGAGTGGGCTTGCAATCAGACCGAGAAGGTTGTTGAATGAGCTAGCAGAACAACCAAGGTGGGACGTTTGATTCGGTCATTCGGTAATTGGACTGTGCGCACTGCGACAGCGCGTTTGAGAGCCTCGCTTGGTTAGACCGTTGACTTGGCGTACACTGCATCATCTGCGCCTGTGGATTTCCCGAGGATATCGCCACATTTTGTTTACCTATACAAGATCATGCCATTCCCCGTCAAAATGACCCCGACACCTCCTTCGACAAACTCCTCGAGTGCTGGCCACTCTCCAGATTACAGGGTCGTCCGGAAACGAAATCGAGTACCTTTGTCATGTGGGCCTTGTCGGCACAGAAAGTAAGCATTCGAGACATGGCTGAAATTCCTTGTTTCTAACAGTTCCAGGCTGAAATGCAATCGTTCAAATCCCTGCGAAAACTGCGTCAAACGAGGAGATGCCGCTTCATGCAACTATGCGCAACCCAACTCGCGCAGGAAGAACCCGTCCCAGCAGTCGTCCAACACACCAGATGATATGCAAAATCGCATCGATCGATTAGAAGGCTTGGTTCTTTCGTTGATGACAAACGGCCCTCAGTCCGAGGGTCCAGCTGCTGCCATGGCAGCAATCTCCGGCGATGGTAGCGGGGACTCGGCTCGGTTCTCCAATGACTACGATATCGAGGAGGAAGGTATGGAGGGCGCCGAAGAGAGCGACACGGACCAGGTGACGAAGTCGTTTGGTATCATGAAGATGGACAATAATAAGTCCTATTACATCAGTGAAGCCCATTGGGCGGCTGTATTGAATGATGTAAGTTTGGGAGTTTTAACCAAACCTGAGGCTTTCTAACCTGCCGAATAGATCGCCGAGGTGCGGAGCTACTTCACAACACACAGGAAGCAATTCGATGAGCAAGTCGAAAAAGTTAAAGCGGCCCGTCCAGCTACTGATACGCCAGGCGCCACTTTGTTGTTTGGTATCAATAAGCCGATGAGCCGTAACGAGATCATGACTGGCCTGCCATCTAAGTATACAACTGACATTCTCATTGCTCGCTATTTCAATTGCTACGACCGTGCAACCCGTGCGTATTTGCTGTCTCCATAACCCGTGATTTTGATGCTAATTTTATTTAGATATTCTTCATGCGCCCACATTCCAAGCACAGGTAAGCTGGCCGAGAAGTTCATTGTTAGTCCAAAAACTGACTCTGCTAGTATAATAAACATTGGGATGACCCTGCGGCGACCGAACTTGTATGGATCGCCATGCTTTTTGCTATGATGAGACTGGCAATGCTATCTTACCATCGCGAAGGCGATGAGCCACCTGAATTCCGGGGCAAGTCCATGGACATGGCTGGGGGATTCCGAAATTCTGTAGCCCAGTGCTTGACATTGGCTGACTACACGAAACCTCACCGTTTTTTGATTGAAGCACTCGTGTTTCATTTGCATGGCGATTTTGATCAGACCCGAGAGGCGGATATTTCGATCTGGGTTATGACTGGCGTTATTGCTCGTTTAGCAATGCGATCAGGATACCACCGTGATTCCAAAATGTTCCCAAACATCACACCTTTCCAGGGTGAGATGCGTCGACGAGTGTGGAGCTTTGTGCGACAAGCCGACATTCTATTCTCACACCAGGTTGGGTTGCCAGGCATGATCCGGGGTACAGATACCGATACCGAGCTACCACGGAGTTTGTACGATGATGATTTCGATGAAGACTGCAAGGAGCTCCCGCCACCTCGCCAATTGAATGAGCCAACACCGATCTCGTACTTGATTGCTAAGGCGCGCCTGACAAACTCATTTAGTCGCGTGGTTGAGCAAAGTGCTTCTGTCGCGTCAGTTCCTTACGAAAAAGTGATGGAAATTGACGCGGAACTTCGACAGGCAAGGGATTTGATACCTGATCACTTGCGCATTCGGCCTATGGAGGAGTGCCAGTTGGATCCTGTTAATCTAATAATGTCACGGTTTGCTGTAAGTTGCCTGGAAGCTGCCGCAATTCGCATCGATACTGACCGTTTATGCAGGTAATGGCCGTATACAACAAAGCCCAGATTGTGCTTCATCGCCCATACCTGGGTCGCGCTCGAGAAAATCCTCGCTTTACCTATTCTCGAAGGACATGTATCGACTCGGCGATGGAGTTATTGCAAGTCCAGGCGCTTCTGCACGCGGAAGCGTGCAACGGACGCCTACGCAGTCGCCAGACCCGGGTAACTTCCCTCAATTCAGCCGACTTCTTACTCGCAGCCACCGTCGTTACTCTCGACTTATACCAAGGCATGTCATTGCAGGGGACCGGCCGGCCATCGGGAGACACATACACATGGGGCCGAGAGCGGCGCGATGAGATGACCGCTGCGATCCAACGATCAATAGAAATTTGGGATGAGTCGCGTGATGAGAGCATGGAGGCATTCAAAGCATCAACCATTCTTGGTGTGATGCTCAGCAAGCTGAAAGTGTCGGCCTCAACTCTTGAAAATGGCACCGGAGCAGCTTCATTTGAGCCACAAGATGAGAAGCAGAACGCGGCCATGACTCTCGGCCTGCTAAGCAGTGGAATGAGCCCGATGAACCCGGGTCCGCCGCCGTTTGCTGATCCCATGTTCAAGATGGGAGACTTGCCAATGGGAGTAGGAGCAGGTGGCATGGGCGGCTTGACTGAGATGCCGGGTGCGCCTTCGCCATTTAGCAGCATGTTTGGGCAGATGCCGGATATGCAAGTCAATTTGGATTGGGTAAGTCATTTCTTCTCTGGGACCCTGTTTTCAGTACTAACATGTTGATATTAGGATGCTTGGGACACATACATCCAAAACCCAACACTCGACACAACAAATCAATTCTGGCCTATGATTGATGCACAACGCCAATCAATCCCACAGCCTGGAGGCATGACACAGCCTCCGGTGCCTAGTCCTTTAAGCTCGGGACAGGTGCCATCAACTACTGGTGTTCCGCGCCCACCGACAATGTTCTCAGCATCTTCCAGCAGCCCTGATAGTGGAGGTGTGCCAGTAACAGGATACGCAACGGCGCCAATACCTCAACAAAAGAATGGCCGGGGTCAAGGTTCCATATAAACGAATTGTACTGGTATACTGCCTGATTTATTCTTTCCCGTTTTTGCCAGAAAATGCTTTGCGCTGGTTGTTTTTGATACCTGGACATGTTTTATTGGTTTCTTGGTCGGATTACTTGAAGTAAGGCAAGCTCTTTGCGCGGATGGATAGCGATGCACGCGACTATGATATTTTGGAGGATTTAAGGCGTGAGAAAATGTGTTGGGGGGTCAATGTACCATATCATGAGACTATATTATTTCCACTCTGAATCATCGAATCTAACAACTCACCTCTTCACCTCTTCATCTAATCCCTCAACCTTTTTCTATACAAAATAACTATTCATTCCGACTGTTTTTTACTTCGATCGACTCGTTATTGGCGATTAGTCACGTGCCGATACTTATCTGGCGGAAAAAGTTCCCAAGGCTGATCTGGCTTCGTGCAATTCTTCTCCAAATATTATTTTTTAATAAAAAGACACGTCTTGTGTTATTTAATTATCAATATGTGAGTACGAATGTGGAGCTTGAGTCCGAGTCCGAGTCCAAGACGTTATACCTTGTTTCGATCTCTGCACTCGGTCATGCAACATCCGAAGAACAGTTGCTAACTTATTTCTAGGCATTGCTTCCGCCGGGCTGTTTCTCGGCTTCAATTGTCCCCAGCTACTTCGCGCTCATCGATCACCGCCTCTAGCGCAGTGTTGCGTTCAACATGTCCCACTCCGATGCTCTCCGCTACGCAGTTCGCCTACCCTACCCTCACACAGACACGATTGAACTCTACCGATGAAGGTCCACGAATTCCCATCAGATATGTTGAGTCTGTCTCTCCAAAAGCCTCACCGGACCAGACCCGCCTGGACCGAGGCGAGCGCCGCCGTCAGCATATCAGCGACGGCCCCGTACCGAAAACCACCCTTTACGTCGGCAACCTCTTCTTCGACGTGACCGCCGAGGACCTGCGCAAGCAGTTTGAGAAATACGGTGCCGTGGAGAACGCAATCATCGTCCACGATGCCCGCGGTCTGAGCAAGGGGTGAGTCCCAAGACATGACAGCAGCAATCCAAACCCATCAGAAACTGACTGTCTCTAGTTTCGGTTACGTTACCTTCAGCACCGTCCAAGAAGCCACCGAAGCCATCACACAGCAGCACGGAGGCATTATGGAAGGCCGCGAGGTTGTCGTTCAATTCTCCAACACGACATACCGCTCCATGGCCGACCAGAAGCCCAGCAGGACCCTGTACATCGGCAACGTACCCTACGAATTGACCGACCAGGATCTGCAAGATCTATTCGATGATATCCCAGGTGTCACGGACGTCCGCATCCCCGTCGACCGTCGCACAGGCTTGCCCCGTGGCTTCGGACACATCGACTTCAAGGACCAGCCTAGCGCTTCCCACGCCAAGGAGGTCCTCTCCCGCAAGGCGCCGTACGGCCGCAAGTTGGCTGTCAGCTTTGCTAAGCGTAAGGTCTTGAGCCCTGAGGATCATCTGCGTCACCAGCAGAAGAAGTTGGAGAGGAAGAATTCTCCCCGTACCTCCGGTGTGAATGAGGTGCGCGGAGTGCGCGAGGTGAACGAGCTTGGTCAGGCTGAGCAGAAGGAGGCTGAGTCCGTTCAGGAGAAGACTGACGAGCAGAAGCAATAGATTGGGTTATATGTGAGTAATAAAGTGTACAATAGTGTCCTAAAATGGCAGGAAGCATCTTTAATCTCGATGTATATTAGATAGAAATGATCATTTCTTCATAGACTCCATCTTTTTCAATATATCCAACTGATCTTCACTTTCAATTAGAATGCAAAGGTTGAGACATAGGCGAGTAATTGGTCCGATCTAATGCAATAGCAAAACGAAGCTGGGGCATTCTGGTTCTGTGGCACAATTGGCTGTTCCCCTATTTCTGGATCTGATGCAGCCCAAAGCCTCGGTTTCATCAACCAAGTATGATTCGGTTGTCATATTAGAGAGTAGTAATTACACTCCACTACTGTAGTACTAATATAGCCGGGAATCTCTTCGATTGCTTGAACATCACCCGCCATGACAAACTGCTACGTTGTATGGGGATAACCTTGGAAGATTTATACATAATGGTGTTTACCACATTCAGAACCTTGGAAGGGAAGGATATGTGTTATAGGGACATACTAATCTATTCCCGAAGAGAATGTATATGTCGAAAATTGGCTGCCAAAAGAGTAGCTGTTGAATACATTCCTTCAATTTGTCAACGAATGTCCCGTTGGTTGATATGCGCCTCCACCGGGGTTTAGAACCAGAGCCAGGAGGACCGCGAGGGCAATTGTCCCTGATTAGATCGACCATGTACTGAAGGTAGGCTAACAGCAAAGTGGAGTACGAACTCACTTCCACTATTGAATTTATCATTCACCAAGAGAAGATTTGAAGTAAGAAATAATAGTAAAGGAAGACTTCTCTGAGACCGAAGTAAGAGATATAATAGCAAAGGCAGAATACCCCATCCATCCCGTCAATGATAGCATCACTGTTACCGTCAGGTAACTCCCGACCGGCCTATAGGGCCCGCATAGATAGGTGAATACATCATCCTTATCTTCCCCTAGGCTTTCAGTGTCACAACTGGTAGCATGTCGCTCTCTACCAGCGCGGAGGATCCGCTGCGCCTCAGGGTCATCCAAAAGACGTCGTCCGGCATTGATGGCATGGGCTTTCTCCGCGATCTGGTCAATCACATCACAGTCCTGGATGACTTCTTCGTCGAGAGGGAGTACATTGCTGATATGCGCAAGTGGGGCTTCCCCATTGGTGTGTAATGCTCCCGACGTGGTATTCCTGTGCGTCGTCGTCTGGCGTATCACGGCGGTTCACCGCGATATGTCTCTCAGGATGGTCAGTCGACGGGGTGTTGGCTAGCTTAGGTGGAGTGGGCGCGGCTAGCCGTGATCGTGTAGCGGTAGACGCGCGGATCGGGGTCCGACGGGCGCTGCTAGTCCACACGATCTCGACAGCTTTTTCGTAGTCTGTAGCTTGGCGCTCGTTCCACCTGTCGTTAGGGAAGTTGTCCGGCCAGGTAGCTGCGTAGCGGCCGTTAGGACCACCCTTTGGGTGAAAACTGGCGATGTCGGTTAGGCGTGCCAAAGCAAGGTCGTGCTTGGTATAGACCAACACCGATTTGTCCAAGAGGCATTGGAAATCGGCGGACCTTTGAACTTCACCCAGTCGTAGCTTTCAAGATCGATCTGTAAAGCGGGGGTATCTTCAATGAGGTTGGCGGGGTCCAGTACGACCTCACCAAAGTGGAAGCCAGTATGTGTGAAGGACTTGTGATTTGGCTTCCTAGTCAGTAGCCAGAGGAATGGGCGCAGTTTCGCACTAGTTAGGACGTAGTAATCCGCAAAGACGGGTAGAAAGGGTAGCCCGTAGGCCCACAAGACCACTGGGCCAGGTTCAGTTTGCAGAGGGCCCTGGAAACCGCTAAACAGAAGGACTCCGGAGTCGCCTATTCTCAAGCACAAACCGAGTCCGCTGCCCTACATGTCGAGCACACCGCCATTCAGCCGGAGTCTGGCGTCATCAGCAGCCCTAGCTGGTAGATATTGCCACGACCAGATCACGTCTTCTGAATGGTCATCTTGAGTGAACTGGTAATATTGGTTGGTAATGGTTGTGATCGTCATAGAATCGTCCTGCGTGCTCTCTTTTCATGCCAGGCCCACTCGCTAAGAAGGCCAGAGTATGAAAGCCGACAACATAGGTGATATGTTTGCTGTGGATATTGCCTACATCAGAATTGCTGTGCCATCATAGGGAATCATTGCAGAGCTGGCGGCAGGACTCCAAAACAATTCACTTGCAGTGGAATGGCACTATGTTTTGGACAACCGTGGGAATTTTCACTTGCCTCGGCCCTTGCTGAAGGATTCCGCAGGGCTCTTATTGATAGGCAATGTGCGAACGGCCCAGGCTAGGATAATTAAGGAACATTTGAAGAAGGTTCTCAATCCTCACAAAAACCCCCGACCATAGCCGATACAGCTAGTTGCGGTCTGAAAACAGAGGCATCGGAGATAAGAGATGTCGAGATTGGTAGCTCGAGATCCTTAGAAGCCATGGGAATTATCGATGGAGTTTGTCGTTCACTTTCCAGTATGTTCAAGTTGATAGCTAGACAAATGTGGAGATAACATATGACATATTTCGAATTGGATTGCGAGGTTTGTCGGAGGCACATTGGGTAGGACGGTCTTCTTATCGTGGTTTTCTCCAATCGCGTCAATCACAGCTTTTGTGGCCCTTTCATTCGGGTATCGCTTGTCGTCTCAATGAGTGCAGAACTGCCTTGCGATGGCTTTTGGAGTGGTCATGAAGAAGGAGTGGGGTATGGGGGCGGGGGGTGTGACGATGGCATATAGGCTGATGACAGCCTTGCTGTCCTGTATTGATGCGCCTGTCTTAAGATGAAAGTTGTCAATGTACGCTAACAACTGCATTGGGCGAAAAAAATTCAAAGTCTCATATGGTGAATGATCAATCGACGTCCATTTTGGAACAGAGTGCTTTGTGCTTTGTTGGTTGGCCCTTGTTGGTTGTTGCGGCATCGAGGGATTTTGACTATCTTTGCCGGAGATATTGTGGCTGGTGGTGTCGTGAAGGTGGGTAAGCATCTTTGCCTTGTCTTGACTCTTAGATGCGAGGGTGTACGTCATCTGATGGCACTCATCGTCGACCGAGTCGAGGTGTAGTGGCCCACGCGCACCAGCAGTATATTAGAATTAAGGACAAGCCATCATGCAATGTCAATGGCCCTGAGTCCCCGGGTTGCGCTGAAGTGAGATCGAGGTGAGTGGGATTATCGAAGAGAGGGAATCTAGTAGGAAGCAACTCCTGACAAACGGGGAAGGAGCTAACATGCCCCAGGCACCTACCTTTATATACAAGGACTTGAGCATGTGATGTGACCTGAATGCTTGATCGTATTTTTACAAACAGAGTGCCTAGGTCTTGAGAAAACTGAGCTAGGCAGTATAGCTCTTGAGATCGAGTCAAAGATACCACACTACTCCCCCACCTACGTTATAGCTGATACCCTTAAATATAAATAGTCGAATGATGTACAGCTCATAGTCCAATAATCTCAATTGGATATATATTGTCTTGATTTATAAAAGCGCTCAATTCGATAAAAGCTGGAGAAATACCATTTAATAAGGGTATTCCCCCTCAGCCCCCTCAACAAGTCCCCGTTCCTTTTGCAACCGATCCTGCTCATCTAGATATGGCATCAAGATTTTGTCCCAACTGGACTTGCCTTTATAGTAAGAAACAGTCTCATCCCAATTCCGAATAGCCTCCGCCAAGCGACCAGGAATATAAGGCTCTTGAGCCAGCTTCGTCACTGGCTCGAAATATGTGCGAATGGTAAACAGAATCGCCCCCGAGCGTGGCAGCCGACGGAGTGTCTGTCGCTCTGAGCGGAAGTGGATCTCGTCAATTGTCAAGCCTTTTCCATTGGCAGTGGCCCATGCTGGTAATTAATATCGTTAGAATATTTTTTATCCATATAGGGGGAGAATGGGGAACGAACAAGCTACTTCTGTTCCTTGTTGATCGCCCATGCGGTGGGACCAGTGGAGTCCATCGTCGAGTTGGATGAAGAACTGTAATTTTGTTAGAACGATATCTCCTTCAACACATTCAGCAGGAGGTCAATAAAAGAACATACATTATTCCTCTCTACTGGCTTATCCGGAGTAAGCTTCAGCATGAACTTATTCATAGACCTTTGCAACTTGGCCGCATAATGGGGAACGCCAGCTTCGAAATGAAGCGTATCTAGGGACATGCGGAATTTCTCCCTGAGACGCCAGAAGCCGGGGAGACAAACGGCGGCTGCATCAAGATGGTATTCTCCATCTGTGTTGTTTTAGCGTGCGCATTCCGAAGTAGGGAAGAGAATATACCATCATTCTTCATCATCAGAACTAGATCATCCTGAACTAGCAAAGCTGATGTTGCGAGAGCCTCATCGGGGGTCACTATAGCTCAAAGTCAGCCGGAATCTTTGTCGAAGGACCGATCAGATTTGAACATACCTGCTGGGAATGGAAACGCCTCTCCAGTAAGACTATTATGCACTTTCCCTCCTTCCAATCGGAAAGTCTTAGGATAGCGATGTGTTAGATGAAGGACCAATTCCTCATTGAGCTCGAAACAAGCGTCTTTCGTGACTGCATTATCGACATATTTGATATGTTCTTTGAAATCCTTCTTCAATTCTGCTGCTTTCATATCGTGGTATCGAAGGAAGTAGGAATCCATTTCGATCCAGTTATCCCAGTGCAGTTTGCGAATTCCCATAGTAATGAAATTGGGACCATGTCGGAACGGGCGATACAATTTGGGGTCGTGAGAAGTCGGATCATCGGGATGAGGGTTGGGAATTGGTTTGATGAATGGTTCTTTCTCTGGTTGTTGTGTCTGAGTACTGGATTTACGGTGAATTGGCCATTTCAATAATAGCCATGTAAGGATGGACACAAACAGCCCTAGAATGGGAAGGGCACCCGGTGGAAGGGGGAGATTTGTGGGAATCATTGTTCAGTCCACTATTGGAATGTGTTAACGGTATAATAGCTAGTATAGCTGATGGGGTGCAAGTGCTCTTAAATAAAGTGTGCATATACATGTACGTCCTAGATCGGCACTCTAGAAACACGTTAAACCCGCTAGTCCAATTCAGGCAAATCTTTTGACCACAAACGACCGACTCGACCAGGCAGGTCAAGTGTCGACCAGTTTAGGTATAGCGTCTGCCGATAAGAGTCTTACATCGTGGACAGCCCCACTTATGTACCGTGGATTGGGTCCAAATTAACGTTATCTGATTGGATGTAATTTCCCCGCAATTCGGACATCGGCATGTCTCTTATCTCGTACCTTCACTTGGGCACTCCTTGGCTTTCCCAATACGGTAAACCATTGGAGAGCCACCCACCGGTGTGGGGTAGAAAAGGATTGACGGCTGCGTTGTATATGTCCAATCGGCGCTTCGGCAAGATTGTCGAAAAGTGGCTCCGATTGCCCAATTTAGATTGTAATACCAATTTGTTCATTACGTTTAGAAAGTGGGAGTGGTAAAGTCGGAAATATAATCCTTAATACTATGTCGAAGCAAACTAAATAACACGCTATATAAATCCAATTCCAGATTAAGAGTGCTCAGCTTCTTCCAGGGGCCCTTTGAAATCTATAATCAAGTTAGTACTTCATCTTCGACCGAAAGGGAGGTGAATTTTTACATCTCCGCCCATAAAGCATATACCACGCCATACTTAAAGCAACACAGCCCACGAACACAACCGACGCATAGGTCATCGTTTCACTAGTGACGGGCAGTGTGATAGGCATGCTGAACAGAATAACCTGGAAAGCAATCCACAAGATCGCAAGGACATTCGCCGTCTTTCCAATGAGAGGATTCAGCTTCCAACGCGACTGACTAATTTCAACGCGACGATCAACGAACAAGCTGATGGCGATGGGAATCGCATAAGCCACAGCCAGCGCAATCACGCCCACCGACGCAAAAGCCGTGAACGCACTACTACTTCCAAGGTAGGTGAGTCCTAGTAGCATCTCAATAGCCGTAACCAAGCATAGCGCTGCCAGAGGGCTATCCCTAACAGTGGAAGACCAGAGATGTGAGAAGGGGATTGCATTATCACGCGAGAAGGCCCAGGTACATCTCCCGGCGGTAGTTGTGATGCTGATAGAGCAGAAAAGGGCAACAAATAGAACGAGGATCATGAGGACTATTGAGGCTGCAGGTGAGCCAGTCACCACGTGGATGATATATGGCAGGGCTTGACCATACGGCGCAGCAATGATGTCCGCGAGTGGTGGAAGCGTGAAGCAAATCGGTACAGTGAATACCAGAGCCGCAGCACCGGCGACCACGGGGACCAAGCTGATGGCTGTGGGAATTTGTGTTTCGGGGTCTGTGCATTCCTCTGCCATGGAGGTCACCATTCCTAGTGCGGAGAAAGCGTAGGCTGGTGGTAGCAGACCGATGAAAAAGGTGAAGTTCTCCTCCCAGCCGGAATAGCTGGGGTCATATCCGAGGAAGCCTGTGTACGCATCGTGACGACCGGTTTTTGCGAGGACGAGAAGGGTTATAGCGAGTGTGATGCATGTGACGACTGAAAATGCGGCGGAGAGTGTGTCGATGAGAGGAAGGAGGTGGTCGGCGAAAAAGCATATCATGAAAACTACAAGACAGATAGCATAGAAGATGAGAAGAAGCTGCCAGGAAGAGGCTGTCCAGGCAGGGTAGAAGATGGACACAGTAGCAACGATAAGAGAAGCGATTCCGAAGTTCACAGAAAGAGATATGGTCCAGTTTCCGATGAGCCAGATCCAGCCCGTGACAAACGAGACTAACTTTCTGCTCCGTTTGGTCTTCAGGAGTCGAAATGACCAGTGGTAGATACCAGATGAGGTAGGGTATCTTGAGGCGAGTTCTGAAAGAGACAAGGCGACGCAGGTATCCAGAGCCAACACCACTAGGAGTCCAATGAAAAGGGAGAGTTGACCTCCGCCATATACCGCGTTGATAAGGGCGCTACCAACACCATAGGGAATAGAGGCAATTGACAGGGACATGAACAGCATGCTGGACAGCTTGCGTGTGCGGCGCAGCTGAGGCTTGTACCCCAATTGGTATAGCTGCGCATCCTGGTATGTGCCGAGCCCATGGTTTTCGAGTTTGTCGCATGAGTCTATGCTGAGATCTTGTTTCTCCATTATTTTCTCCATTGGTTGCCCCGATTTGGAATCAAAAGGACACTGACGGGTTTATATATTCATTCCATGGGTATGTAGCATCGATCTTTATACCGCTTCTCCACAGCATTAACCTGTATAAGAAGCTTTGTTCTAGTCCAATATGGGAAATCATTTGGGCCAGTTATCTTTATTGGTCCGGGCTTATTGAATACCATTAGATAGGGGTTATTTAGGTATCTATGGTTTTCGCTGTTATCATCCTGATGGCCAATCTAGGAACTACTATATTTACAGTTAAAAGTTTGCGGGGTAGAGACCCTAGAAAATGACTAGGCTGGTCCACGGGTCTTATCAATGCCATGTGGCGGAGTGGAGTTGCCCAAAAACTTTCCTAATTGGGTTTAACGTGTGTCGATTAAATGAACACTAGGGCTTGCGTCTCCGTATACCGGATTGACCCTCTTTACTCACCATCTTTCCTTATCTGCCGCTTTTATGACCCCTAGGATTACGAGTAGATGTCAGCACGCGGCTCAGAAAACTGCCTCCAGTGACGCGATTGCTCCCTGTAGTGACTACGTTGTGCATATATTTCAAATTGACTGTTCATTTGCATAGCTGTGTTGATCCAATTTGATATGAAGTAACTGTGGCCTCTCTCCAACTAGAACAAAATATCCAGAACATGTTCATCATTTCACATAAAAAATTTATCAAAGACGAGAAAGATTGGAGAATTCTGCTGGAGCATGGTAAGTCGGGACCTTCATATCAAGATCAGCTCCAGAGTAGCCAAGGTCCTCTGCTACCAACATTGCACACTTTTCACCGATAAGGAGAGCAGTCTATTTATTAACAGAGTCAGTATTTGGCAAACTTTCACAGAAAATGAAGAGAAAGAAAACTCACGCTGAAAGTGTTGCAGCCCACATTGTCAGGGCAGATAGACAAGTCGCAAACCTTGAGGCCCTTAACTCCATGAACATTGAGGCGCTCATCAACAACACCTCCATGGGGTGCAATGGAGTTACCCTCTCGTGGCGCCATGCTGCACGTGCCAAGGCAGTGCCAGGTTGTCTCGACGTGACGGGAAACTGCAACGGTGTTAGACACTATGATCCGACGAAGTACCAGTTAAAGCTCGGGACTTACTCCATTTCTCAATGTGTTTGACATCTTCATCGCTGTATTCCAAAGGAGTGCGAGCTTCATGTCTATTGGAGTTGAGAATCGAAGCCGAGGGCTGCTTTCCGGGTTGCAACGGCGTGGTCCAAGAACCTATATTGATTGTATTAGCTGGATAAAATATTCAGGTGGACATAGTAAGAACATACCGTGCTGAATACCAGCAGAAATATGGTTCGTACCAGCATATGCCTTGGTAGTCGCCAAATCCATATCTTGCGCCCGTGCTGGTGAGTCGAAAGCGAACTGGGGATGCATGGCGGTGACCTCTCCAGCATACGAGCTCATGCGCCGGGCAGTTTCACGGGATTTAATATATCCCCAGACCAAAGGAGCCATATCACGTTTGTCATTCATGAAACCCGCATCAAAGTCTGGGACTTCGTAAGGGTCAGCCGACTGGATGTGAGTGTGCCCACGGGAGAAGGGGTATTCCTAATCTCTTGTCAGCACTGGATGGGTTGGTGTAGTGAGTTGTACCGTACCAGGAAATGGAACATTGTAAAGAACTTGCCCGGAGGCATGTGCATGTGGTCTCCGAACCAGCTATGCGTGGGTTAGCCTTGTAGCCAAAATGAAGCGAATGAAATGCTTACCCGGAAATGATCGAGTAATGCATGACAGGCTTGTCAGGCTTATTCCTGAAGTACGACTCATATCCCTCTGTAAAGTCCGGGGTAGGCCACTTCTTCATCTCTCCGAGCTCTTCCTCGGTAGGCCGGATCTTGACTCCAGCATCGATACCGTTAGTGGCCAATGGACCGGTTCCCTTCTTATCCCACTCTTCGAAGACCTTCTTCTGCACTTTGGGATCTCCACGAATGAAGTCGTCAAAGGATTCGACGTCGGGTTTGGCGCGGTAAACGGAGAAGGTGAGGTAATGGTCCTGGAAGTTTCGGCCCACACCTGGTAGGTTGACTAAAGGCTTGACACCAGCCCGGCGCAGCTTCTCGGGATCACCAAAGCCGGACCGCTGGAGAATAAGTGGGGAACTCATTGTACCCGAACTGATAATAATCTGCTTCCTGGCTTTGAAGATCCTGCGAACTGGCTCTCCGCCGTTGAGAGGCTTAGTTGGAACTGTTACAACCCCAACAGCGCGGCCATTTTCAACAATCACCTTCTCAACTTTGGTATTGCATTGGAGGTGGAGATTGCTATGCTTGGCTCGGGTGCTGTGAACATAAGCGTGGGCCGCATCACTTCGTCGTCCTAATACCGAGTGTTAGAGATGACACCGGTATGAAACTGGATTTTATTTCTTACCGGTATCACGATTGATCCATTTCAACCAGTGTTCTGCACCGTGGCTGCGATATATGACTCCTCGTTAGTATAATGCAAGGGAATATCAGTCGTGGACCTCATACGCAGTCTTCAAATCTTGCAAGTCATCAGTGAATGGAATTCCTTGCGTTTCAACAGCGCGAAGGAAGTCATTCTTGATCGGGTAGGTGTAGTTTCCGAATGAGACCTTGATAGGCCCGTCACTGCCGTGCAGTTCAGGGTTATTGCTCGCACGTTGGTATGTTTCATGCTTCCTCATTAATGGAAGAAGTTCCTTGGTTGTCCAGCCTTTTGCTTGGAAGTCGTCGTAATCAGATGCAGAGGCCCTGGTATACATCTTCAATGCGTTCAGCTTGGGGCATTCGATCGGAATTTCAAGCAGGTGCCACGTACCATAAAGTTGATAGAACTACCACCTCCAAGAATGTTGGCACATGGAACAATAGCCTGCCGACCATCTAAATGCTCAGATGGCCTGGATTGATAAAATGATGCCGTCTTCGAATCAAGCTTCATGTTGTTCGGGTAAATACCAGGTCGGTACACCCTAGGCTGAGATGAGAATACACTCTCTGAAAGTGGTGTTCTCAAAATGCTCACCATTGATTATTCAAGTTATCCTCGCCTGCCTCAATCAGCAATACAGACAGCTTGCGATCAAGATTCGCGAGGCGGCCAGCAGGGACACATCCCGAACTGCCGCCACCACAAATGATGATATCAACCTCATCTGGGATAGTCATGACTTTGGATATGTTGACAAGACAGTGTAAGAATATTTGTCAAGAAAGTGAGTAAGAGAATGATCGAATTTATGACGAGAGCTCCCATAGGGGTCTTTATATAGCTGTGCCTTTGTGCCCATGGGAGTAGCTATGAAGGAAATTTCTCCAATTCCAGTCAGATATACAGCCAATAGCTCCGTGCATTATCCCCGCGCGCGGAGACAGAGTTCAAACGCTCGAGTTTGTCAAACAGACTTGCCCTTGTCAAAAAGGTAGTTCCTCCTAGATGCAATACAAGGAATTTGTCTTCCTCAATCGAACACATTATATCAGCATAGTGAGAGGGTTACTAAAACATAGTACTTGTATGGACAAACACAGTGAAGGACACAATACTAATAATACGTGATGTCCTGCATTCTAATTCGGCTATCGCTGTCATATCACAAACAGCACACCCAGAGCCAAGACATCTCTGATGGTACTTTCTAGGAAATTCCCCGCATTTCATATATGGTTGTCGTCAGCTCAATTGCCTAGACCAAGCTCTTACAGATTCTACGTGGGTGAGATGTTGCCAACAGTCCTTGCTATCCCCCCATCCTCCTATACGGGGTATGGACAAGGGAAGTCTGCGCGGGGGTCAAAAGTGCGGCACCCTTTGAGTGTGTTCGGTTAAAGATTATAATATTAGTTCTTAATGTCCTATATTCTAAGCTCTTGCCATGTACATGTACTTAGTACACCTATCTGACTTGCAAACTGATACATCAGAGAAATAACTAGGGGACAAGTGTCATTCAATGACTTAGCTGTTTCTCATACCGATAATTGACTGTGAAAGAGAAACTAAGTAAACAATCTTGCTGGAAATTCCCAAAGAATAAAAATGAAACAGAGTATTATGTGGAGTCATATCCTGATTCATTGACCTTTGATCGGCCGGGAAGCATGATTCAGCCTATAATGTGGCGCCGCATTAGTCCCCGAGGATTCTCCGCACCAGCTACCTCATTTTGCGGGGTAGAAGTATTGGCATGGAGAAAATATTGTTTACGGAAGAGGCGGCATATATATATTGTTGATATAAATTCCAATTGGTGGAAATTTGACACATCACCAGGAACCTGCACGGTACTTTCTCACGGAGTTTCTAAATGGGGACGCGGCATGGTATGACTGAGAACTCGTATAAATCTTTCTACTTATTACCTGTTCTATCTTGGAGATGGATAGCTATCTAGGCCTCATTGGTAGTAACTAAGTTCGAAGATAATATACAACGGACATACTATAGCGACATTTATAGTATGATAAGAGTATGTAAATTCTTGAACAAGATCGGTTGATTGGAGATCAACTGAAGAGTGGGATATTCTATTCTATATTGATACAAACTTCAACTGAAGCCTAGACCTAGGCACCCCTTCTTGATCAGTTGCCGTAATGATCTCCCCTGTCACAGTTCACCAAATAACGATTAGTCTGCCATCCATTCTTACACGTCCTACTTGCCCCGTCGTAGAAACACGGCGCATCTCTCCACTTTTTGCACTGCAGCGTGCCGAGTTGCGTTGAATACCCACGTTGAGGGGTCTTTCCCTTTTAATTGTAAGCGCAAGTATCCCCAAACGCGGAGATGTCTGTTATTGCATTGTGTATATTTGCTCAAGCAGTAATCGCTCGGCAGTGATTGACCAGTTCCCCTCTTGACCTCGACACCTGAAGGTTGACTTGGTAAGCATAACGTCCATATAATGAGTGAGCCATAAACATACGGTATGTAGGGTTGGTCTTTTTCGTGCTGTATCTGAGATACTCGAGGAACTGTTT